ATTATCCCGCCCATGCAATTGTAACCCCTCTGTACAGTATGTTCACAAATAAAATTAAATTAAAAAAAAAAGAATCTTAAATGCTTTACTGGTGGCATGATATAGCTCTTGCCTAGCAAAGATGAAGCCCTGAAATCAAACCCCAGTGCCACCAAAATATTATAGATAAATATTAATATTTGTATATATTTTAAATGGCACAGGTACTTCCGGAAATAGTTTATCAGCTCCTTAAAATATTAAATGTAGAGTTATTACCTCACCCTCCCAAAAGTGCTGGGATTAGAGGCACACATCAAAACATTTGGCTGATAATATCCTTTACTAGCTGGGCACTGGTGGCTCATGCCAGTAATCCTAGCTACTCAGGAGGCTAAGATCTGAGGATCGAAGTTCAACGCCAACCCAGGCAGAAAAGTCTGTGACACCGTTATCGCCAATAAACTACTCAGATAAAGCTGAAAGTAGTGCTGTGACTCAAGTGGTAGAGCGCTAGCCTTGAGTTGAAGAGCTGGATGGGGGACAGCGCCCAGGCCCAGAGTTTAAGCCCCACAACCTAACAACAACAACAAAAAATCAGTCTGGGTGCCAGTGATTTATACCTGTAATCCTAGCTACTCAGGAAGCTAAGATCTGAGGATCAAGTTTCAAAGCCAGCCCAAGCAGGAAAGTCCATGAGACTCTTTTTTGGGTTTTGATGGGGTTTTTTTGTTTGTTTGTTTTGCCAGTCCTGGGGCTTGAATTCAAGGCCTGGGCACTGTCCCTGAGCTTCTTTTGCTCAAGTGGAGCCACAGCACCAACTTCTGGCTTTCTCTGTTTATGTGGTGCTGAGGAATCAAACCCAGGGCTTCATGCATACAAGGCAAGCACTCTACCACTAAGCCACATTCCCAGTCCCTCCATGAGACCTTTGCATCCAATTATACAGCAAAAAGCCAGAAGTGGAGCTGTGATTCAAGTAGTAGAGTGCCAGTCTTGAGGAAAAAAGAAAAAAAAAGGCTGAGGGACAGAACCCAAGACCTAACTTGATAGGGTGGAGGAAGCTTAAAAACAGAATCAAAGGTCTAACATGAATTGTTGAGAACTGAAAAAAGCAATCATGATACTTTTGCCAAAATGTAATCATAGCTAATACTTAAGCCACTTGGATAATACCTCAAAGGCTTCTAGAAAATTTGTGCAAAAAATATTTTAATTGTATTGGGCACTGGTCGTTCATGCCTGTAATCCTTGCTGCTCAGGAGCGGAGATACAAGGATCATGATTCGAAGCCAGCCTGGGCAAGAAAAATCCATCTCTAATTACCCACCAAAAAACCTGAAGTGGACCTGTGGCTTAAGTGATAGAGCTCTAGCCTTACACTAAAAAATTCAGAGACGGTGACCAGACCCTGAGTTTAAGCCCTAGGACCAGCACAGAAAAAAATTAAATTGTTATCATTTCTTTTTTTCTTTCTTTCTTTCTTTTCTTTCTTTCTTTTTTTTTTTTTTTTGCAAGTACTGGGGCTTGAACTCAGGCCCTGGTACTGTCCCTGAGCTTCTTTTTCTCAAGGCTAACACTCTACCACTTGAGCCATAGAACTGGCTTTTTCTGTGTATGTGGTACTACGGAATCAAACGCAGGGTTTCATGTATGCGAAGCAAGCATTCTACCACTAAGCCACACTCCCAGCCCAAGAAAATGTCTTGTTTTGTTTTTTGTAGGTTGTGGGGCTTGAACTCTGGGCTTGGGCGCTGTCCCTGAGCTTTTCAGCTCAAGGTGAGTACTCTACCACTTGAGCCACAGCGCCACTTCTGGTTTTCTGAGTAGTTTATTGAAGAGTCTCATGGAGTTACCTGCCTGCACGGATCTCAGCTCTTGAGTAGCTAGGATTACAGGCATGAGCCACCGCTGCGCAGGCCCAAGAAAATGTTTTTTAATAAAAACTTGCAAGGTAAAATGTGTATTCTAGAAATATTAAAAAAAGAAAATCATGTGAGGCTCTGAGTTCAAGCCCTGGTTCCTTCTACATCCCTCAGCTACACCACCCACCCCTCTGCAATAAAAAAGGAAAGAAAAAAAGAAAGCCTTTGGCAGTGGCTCATGCCTGTAATCCTGGCTACTCAGGAGGCTGAGATCTGAGGATCATGATTGGAAGCCAGCCTGGGTAGAAAAGTCAACAAGACTCTACAATTAACCACCAAAAGGGCTGGGAAGGTGGCTCAGTGGTAGAGCGCTTGCCTTGCATGCCTGAGACCCTGGGTTTGATTCCTCAGCACCACATAAGCAAAAAGAAAGCCGGAAGTGGCGCTGTGGCTCAAGTGGTAGAGCGCTAGCCTTGAGCTGAAGAGCTGAGGGACAGCACCCCAGGCCCAGAGTTCAGGCCCCACGACCAGACCCAAAAAATAAATAAAAAAATAAAATATTTATTTGAAGTTTGTTTTCACTTTTGTTCTGTTAAAAACAAAACTGTGTCAGTCTTGACTCATAAAATCTATAAAAAAATAAGACACTCAAAAAGCCTAGAAGTAGTTTTCTTTTGTGAGAAGAAGGGCAGATTATTCTGTATACTATTATTGTATCTGTTCCATAAATTCCTTACAGCATAATCTGAAAAGACTAAGTAAGATAAGGCTGAAATTGTAAAGCCTACAGTTCTTCACTGAGCCTGAGCTCTGCTCTTTTCCTTTCTTTTTCTTTCTTTCTTCGTTTCTTTTTTTCTTCCTTCCCTTCCTTCCTTCCTTCCTTCCTTCCCTCCCTCCCTCCCTCCCTCCTTTTCTTCCTTCTTTCTTTCTTTCTTTTTTATTTCCTTTCTTTTTAGTGGTTCTAGGGTTTAAATTCTGGGCCTTCCATTTGCTAGGCAGGCACTCTACTACTTTAGCCATGGCCTATAGCTTCCCACTTTTTAATAATGACTTTGTGTGTGTGTGTGTGTGTGTGTGTGTGTGTGTGTTTACATGTTTTTGAGACATAGTCAAACCCTCAAGTTCAAGACCAGTGTAGGCAATATAACAAGATCTTATCTGAAAAAAATAAATTCCAAGAGGTGTATGCAATATACTTTGCATCATCATGTGTTTATGAAAAAGAATTTGAGTTAGCACCTGTGGCTCACCCTTGTAATCCTAGCTGTCCAGAAGGGTAAGACCTGGAGGTTCTAGGTCCAGAGCCAACCTAAGTTAAAAAAACAAACTGAAAAACTATTCTAGAGTGGGTGTGGGTGTGCTTGCACACTCACGTGCACCAGTACTGAGGCCTGAACTCAGGACCTCTCTTTCTCTCTTTGCATGGCTTTTTCACTCAGAGCTGACACACTACCACTTGAGCCATATGTCCAGTTCCAGTGCATGTAAGTTATGCTTAACCACCAGTGGCTCACTCCTACAATCCTGGCTGCTCAGGAGGCTGAGATCTAAGAAGGGACTGAAATGGTAAAATCTGCTGCTCCACACTGAGCCTGAGCTCTGTTTTCGCTTTCCTCCTCCTCCTCTTCTTTTGTTGTTGTTCTTGGGGTTTAAATTCAGGATCTTGCTTTTGCTTAATAGCACTATTCTGCCACTTGAGCCATGGCTTAGGGTAATCATGGTTAAAAGCCAGCCTGGGCAAGAAATCCATGAGACTCTTATCTCCAATTAACTACCAAAATAACCAGAAGTGGGACTATGGGTCAAGTGGAAGACACCAGCCTTGAGCAAAAAGATAAAGGACAGTGCTCAGGCCCAGAGTGCAAGCTCCAGCATACACAAAGAAAGAAGTGAACCATGACATCAACTCAGAATAGAGGAAAGATGAAGGCCACAGCATATTTAGGAATGTTTGAGAATATCTGGAGAATACATAAATCCAGAACTGATTAGAGTTTTAATTGCATTTATTTCCAGGTGCCAGTGGCTCATGCCTATAATCCTTGCTACTCAAGAGGCTACAATCTGAGAATTGTGGTTCTAAGCCAGCCCAGGCAGTAACATCATGGCATTCTTATCTCTGATTAACCACCAAAAAGCTTTAGTGGAAAAGAAAAACAAGAGCAGTTAGTGAAGCTGTAGCTCAAGCGGTAGAGTACTAGCCTTGAGCAAAAGAGCTCAGGGACAGTACCAAGGCCCTGAGTTCAAGGCCCAAGATTGGCACCAAAAATCTTTTAAATTGCATTTATGAAGAGACTTGAGAAAATCCACAGGGCATTATAGAAACTTTCAAGTTAAAGGAAAGTAAGAAATCGACTGACTTAACATCTTAAATGTGCAACAGAAGTGAAATACTAGGTTCATAACCAAAAAATAATGCCAAAAATCAGACAGACAATAGGTTAAACAGG